ATAGACTCACACAGAGACCCATAGACTCACACAGAGACCCATAGACTCGCACAGAGACCCATAGACTCACACAGAGACACAGACTCACACAGAGACACATAGACTCACGCAGAGACCCATAGACTCACACAGAGACCCATAGACTCTGAGACCCGTAGACTCACACAGAGACCCATAGACTCACACAGAGACGCGTAGACTCACACAGAGACCCGTAGACTCACACAGAGACCCATAGACTCACACAGGAACCCGTAGACTCACACAGAGACCCATAGACTCACACAGAGACCCATAGACTCACACAGAGACCCATAGACTCTGAGACCCGTAGACTCACACAGAGACCCATAGACTCACACAGAGACGCGTAGACTCACACAGAGACACAGACTCACACAGAGACACGTAGACTCACACAGAGACCCATAGACTCACACAGAGACCCATAGACTCACACAGAGACCCATAGACTCACACAGAGACCCATAGACTCACACAGAGACCCATAGACTCACACACAGACGTGTAGACTCACACAGAGACACAGACTCACACAGAGACCCGTAGACTCACACAGAGACCCATAGACTCACACAGAGACCCATAGACTCACACAGAGACCCATAGACTCACATAGAGACCCGTAGACTCACACAGAGACCCATAGACTCACACAGAGACCCATAGACTCACACAGAGACCCATAGACTCACACGGAGACCCATAGACTCACACAGAGACCCATAGACTCACACAGAGACCCATAGACTCACACAGAGACCCCTAGACTCACATAGAGACCCGTGGACTCACACAGAGACACAGACTCACACAGAGACCCGTAGACTCACACAGAGACACATAGACTCACACAGAGACACATAGACTCACACAGAGACACATAGACTCACGCAGAGACCCATAGACTCACATACAGACCCATAGACTCACACAGAGACCCGTAGACTCACACAGAGACCCATAGACTCACACAGAGACCTGTAGACTCACACAGAGACCCATAGACTCACACAGAGCCCTATAGACTCACACAGAGACCCATAGACTCACACAGAGACCCATAAACTCTGAGTCCCATAGACTCACACAGAGACCCATACACTCACATAGAGACCCATAGACTCACACAGACAGCCATAAACTCACACAGAGACCCATAGACTCACACAGAGACCCATAGGCTCACACAGAGACTCATAGGCTCACACAGAGACCCATAGACTCTGAGACCCATAGACTCACACAGAGACCCATAGACTCACACAGAGACCCGTAGACTCACACAGAGACCCATAGACTCACACAGAGCCCCATAGACTCACACAGAGACCCATAGACTCACACAGAGACCCATAGACTCTCAATATTGTGCACCACGACCATCGCGAACCACCACTCCCTCCCCCACAAACACGTGTAATAGGACCTCGCAAACAGTGAAATCCAGCAGGCGTGTAGGAGGTTGGTGGTGGTGGTGATAATTGGGGTAAATGAGCTCATATTCCTCACGCACCTGCCGATTGTGAGCCGATCCCTGAGCAAATGAACTGAGACAATGGGACAATGCGTGCGTGCGTGTGTCTATGTCTGTCTGTCCGTGTCTGTGTGTGCGTGTCTGTGTGCGTGTGCGTGTGTGCGTGTCTGTGTGTGTGTGCGTGCCGGCCTTCCACAGCTAACAGCACTTGGCCCCCCAGAAAGCCTGTCAAGGCGCTAAGGGGGACCTTTGTCTTTGTCGTCAGATCGGATGTCAATATATAGGCGAGTCACATTGAGTGGTGACCATAGCCGTCGTTAATAGGTGTTCGCTAACACACACACAGGTATCGATCTGTGTGTGTGTGATGCTAGGCTCGTACGGACCAGTTGTGAGTCAATTGATTGGTGAGTGTACAGGTGAGTGACTACATAACTGAATGTATAAACAGGTGAGTGTACAGGTGAGCGAGTATACAGGTGAGTTATTACAGAAGTTAATTTATAGACAGATGAGTGTACAGGTGAGTGTACAGGTGAGTGATTACATAAGTTAGTGTATAGACAGTTGAGCGTACAGGTGAGTGATACGTGAGCATACAGACAGGTGAGTGTACAGGTGAGTGTACAAGTGAGCGAGTGTATAGGTGAGCGTACAGGTGAATGTATAGGCAGGTGTACAGGTGAGTGTACAGGTGAGTGTACAAGTGAGTGAGTGTACAGGTGAGTGTACAGGTGAGCGTACAGGTGAGTGTGTGTACAGGTGAGTGTACATACAGGTGAGTGACCAGGTGAGCGAGTGTATAGGTGAGTGTACATACAGGTGAGTGACCAGGTGAGCGAGTGTATAGGTGAGTGTACAGGTGAGTGTACAGGTGAGCGAGTGTATAGGTGAGTGTACAGGTGAGTGTACATACAGGCGAGTGTATAGGTGAGTGTACAGACAGGTGAGTGTACAGGTGAGCGAGTGTATAGGTGAGTGTACAGGTGTGTGTACATACAG